CCAAGCCCCCCATCCCAGCCTCTTGAGGATCACTCCAGTGTGTGATAGGCAGAGGATGACCTACGGCTCACAAGCCCCTGAAGGAGGAACACACACAAGATGTTGTTCAGGCACCAGTGGGCTTTGCAGCAGGGGCCTGCCCTGCTTGGGAGGGCAATCCCCCCAGCCTAGCCTCCCCCCAACCCTGTGGATACCTCATCCAGCTTCTGGAACTCAGACATGCCTTTGTGGCAGCACCTCACGGCCGTTATCACACAACAGGTGAGCAAAACAGACACCATCAGACACATGGCCACCACCACACCTGGGTTCCTGTGCAACTCGGGGGCTCCAGTGTCACCTGGAGGGGAGCTCTGAGTCAGCCCTAGACCCCATCCCTTCTAAGGCTGAGACACCCACCAGGGCCCAGTGCCTTTTAAGTCCCCTCTCAGGAAGCTGTGCTTAATTCCCTCTCCAGTCTCTGCTGTAACCATTTTTTCAAGCACATTTTTATCCTTTTACTTTTGTTTTTCTTTTCTTTTCTTTTTCTTTTGAATATACTTGTCTACAAGCAATCAATTTTGTTCACTGTGTTTCCACAGCCATTGTTGGCCACTTCTGGGAGTTCTTGCAAAGTGAAAAATATAATCCAACCTAGAACTCTGTTCCCAAATGCAGCGACTTTCTGAGGATACGTGCAAAATTTGACACTTTGTGAAGATGGTTTATGTCCTGTGACTTTAAGCAAAATGTTATTATGCTTCGTGTTTGCACATTTCTTTGCATGTTTTGGAGACTATGTATTATTTTGAATGACAGATATTTCTAGACCCTCTGAAAATGCTTGGCCTCTATTGGACCCCTGGGGCCCTGTATGATCACACCCTGCAAATTCCTCACCCTCACTGCCCCCCACTAGTACCCCCACTCGGCCCATTCCAGCCATCTCGCTCTTCTTCAGATGCACCAGGCGCAGTCCTACCTCAGGGCCTTTGCACTTGCTGTGCTCACTGCCTGGGCTGTTCTCCCCCCAACTACCTGCGTGGTTCCCTCCTTCGCCTCCTTCAAACCAAGACCTTGGCTGAATAGTCTTTAAAAATTTCAAAACCTTTGCATTTGCGTTCCAATCCCTTATCCTGCTCTAGTTTGTTCTTTTATAAACAAATATGTAATTTACTTATAACCTGTCTCCCAACATAACTGTATCTCACAGGGCCCGACACAGGATAGGTGCTTAATAAAACGTGCTTGGAATGAAGGTCTGAAGAGGTTTAGGTGAGGCTGGGGTGGGAGAAGAGGCCCTTCCCAGCATATTCTTAGGACTGTGTCTCCCCCTTGTGGCCAATCTCAGAACTGCACCCTGGTATCCGCAACCATCCCCCATCTGCCCAAATGTCCCAATACTCACCAAGGTCAGAGGCCACGGATGTCCCGTCAGTGGTGGCCGAGGACACGGAGGAAGGCACCGTGCTGGGATTGGGTTGAGTGGGGCTCCGATGCAGGGTGGTCAAGGAGATGGAACTCAGGGGGCTAGAGTGGGAGGTGAGGGTGTGCTCTGAACTGGGAGAGCCGGAGCTGGAGTGGGTGACTGTCTCTGCTTGTGAGGAGGTGGGCTGCATGGTGGAGGTTGCCCCTGAATTTGAGGGGGTTATGCAACCTGCCTCTGAACCAGGGGTGCTAGGGTGGCGGGTGGAGCCTGTCTCTGGGCTCTCTTGGCTGTTGTGGTTTTCCACTGAAGTAGGGAAGGGGTGGCTGGAGGGAGAAGTCAGAGATTAGGAAGTCAAGTTCTCCATCTCTGAGATTGTAACGCCTGAAAAGAAAACACCATTGGGGTGCAGGGAGAAGATGATTAGGAACAAGGGCTTGTGACCCTGGCCCAGACTCCCCTCTGGATGCCTCTTTCCCTATCATT